CTATTTTAATAGGACATTCACACTTTTTGTAGAAGCAGAGTATACATACAGCTTTGATCACCTTAACAGAATTAATATTGAAGTACAGTCTATGCACTACTGAAACTCTTCTATTTGATTAGTTGTAACCATTAATTGGGCAAATCATGCATTATATTGAATCAACATACTTTAAATGGTCTGATTTAAAAATGTCCAAAATTCAGGACCCATGAATTGTGGCTGCTTCAGTATTGCTGTGTGACCATACTGCTGTGGTTACATGATCATCTTTCCAACACTCCCTGCCAGTTCGTACAAGGAAAATCAATGGGCAAGCCAACAGAAGTTGGAAATTGTTTTTGTTTTGGCCTTTTTCCCCCTACATCCATTCTATTTCTCTGGAAATAGGAAATGTCTCTGAAATGATGACCCAGTAAGTTATAGATTGTCTAGTTTGTTTTAAAAAGAGTTCAGCATTAAATGCAGTCATGGATTGTATTTTGAGTTTCACTAGAGCTTGGAATTTTAAATAAACAAGGGTGTTAAACTGAAGTTTGATGGATGGAATCATGCTATAAGTTCTCTTAAATTCATACATAGGAAGACACTGAATTAATGTGGCCATTTTCTCTCTCCTCTTGGGTTTTAAGGAGGTGAAGTGAATATATGTGTTTCAGAATTTATAAGGTTCATTTGCAGTAATCTGAACTAAAGCCGTTGGGTTCTAATGCAATTTGTAAAATACTCAATTTGTTCAAATTTGTTTCAGAATGATAATCTAACATATGATTCCTTGCAGAATTCTACTTATATTAATATAATTAATTGGTGCTCTGAGAGCTTGGTTGTTTTCTTGCAGATGTTTCATTACCAAACTAGGTTGACATCAACATCACTAACATTGATATCTGCAAGAAAGCATCTGCAAGAAAACAACCAAGTTCTGAGAGCATCAAAGTCTTCTCATTTCAAACTTGAGCTACAAAAATTACAACTTTACTTTTCACACCTCTAACTGAAATTTAGTGTTTCCAACAGAATAATTTATGGACTTTAAATTCCAAAACTCATTTGTTAATTTCAATAAACCTCATTATCTAAAATTACTTGCTTTTTAAAAAAATGTTTTGATAACTATGGCAGTTGCAGTTGCACAAGGACCTCATGACTCTCTTGCCCTGACAAACTGCCTGTGCTTCAGCTCTCCTCACCTGCCCATCTCTGCCCTTTTTGACCACCCTTACTCTACCACTTACCTCTGCTAGCCTCTGCTATTCCCTGCTGCTTTCTGCTATCTAATTTCTATCACTACATAGTTTTTTATCCTGAGTTTTCTACTCTAATCAGCCTAAGATTTACATTGATGTGTCCTGTAATTGTCTGTGTTGCAAGCTTTGCATTACTTTATATTGCTCTTCTGCTTTTCCAATATTGCAGCAGTGAGTGGTAAAGGCAAAGCTCCACTACGGAAAAGATGTAGTGCCAGTCGGGTGAAACTTTTTCTTTCTGAGGAGAGCAGCTGTGAAAAGGGCTGTCAAGTCACCAGTGAGCAGATTAAAGCAGATATGAAAGCAGCCAGTGATGTGACCACAGAAAAAAATAAAAACAAAGATTGTAACTCAAGCTGTAGTGGGGACACTGGACCTCCAGGAAGCTCGTCCTCTGCTGCTTCTCAAAGCCTGGAAGATGTCAGGAAAGTAGATAGCTCTACTGAATCCCTTTCTGTAGCTGCAGAGGATTCTGAGAAATGTCTCTGTAGGAATGAAGATTCCAGTGAACGGGATGATGAAGATAATTCTTTATGCTCCAGGTGTTCCTGCTATGTGCCTCAGAGCCAGCAAAAGAGAACTAATGGTGCTTCTGATGATGAATGTCCATCTACCAGTGGAGCCTCTGGTACAAATGGGCCATCTGTGGGAGGAGCAGAACTTTCTCTGAGAACATTAGCAAACTCTGATTCCTCAGGGGAAGGCAGCAATGAGAGGACTAATGAGGGTGTCTGTGGGACTGCTAATGAGGAGGGCAGTAGTGTACAACAAGCACCGTTTGAAGTGGAATACAATGAAGATTATCCTCGTAGGCCT